CTCTACTGGCAAAATAATACTTTCTAAGATTCTTTTCAAACTTTCCTTCTGCTAGTTTGAGGTCATATCCCTGTGTTTTTGATCTTAATTTCACATTGAAAATTCTGCCCCTGCACCTTATACACCACCTTAACATATTTAAAGGTTTCAATCATGTCTCAGATCTCTCTTCTTTTCTCCAGGATGTACATATTTAGTTCCTGAAGGCTCTTCTGATATGTTTTTTATCCTTCAGACCCATAACCATTTTTATTGCTTTTCTCTGGACTCATTCTAAATGATGGTCTACCTAAATGTCTATATAATTAGACTGTAAGCTCTAACAAGCAGGGCCCTCTGATTCCTCCTGTATTGAATTGTATTGCAATTGTCCTGCATGCCCTCATGTTAATAATTCTGTATAATAATAACAATGATAGAGGAATCGGGACCTCCTTCCTCCTGTTGGTGATCCCTCTGGTGATGCATCCTACCGTTTGCTCATTTTGCAAACAACCTAACCCTAACCCTTTGCTCAACCTAACCCTGAACCTTAACGTAACCCCTAAGCCACCCCAAAAACCTAGACCCAACCTTTAATGTAACCTCTAAACCTAACACCTAATTTAAACCCACCACTTGACCTATATTTTTAAGTGAGGCTTAATAAAGGGGTAGTACCACCTTGAAATGCATTGCCACACCCCCTATGACATCATCACCTTCTCCTGATGTCCTGCTTGTGCCCTGAGGTTTCCTCTGTGGCTCACAGTGGCTCTGCTTGGCTATCTGCATGAGACAGGAGGCTTAACTGAGGACAGGCTGCCATCTACTGAATAAATTACATGTCATTTTGAGATCACACATTGCACACATATTTGCTTGTTTACCTTATTTAGATTAATAACTTGCTTGTCGCGGTGCTTTGTTTCTCTTTTTGTCTTTCTATATTTTTAAATGAACCTGTGCTTTGCCCATGTGCTCCCCTTCCCCAACCAGGCATGCTCACCTTCCCTTTCCTCCCTCACCACTCGTTTTGGCCCCAAGGAGTTTAGAGAAAGAATGGGTACCCAGCATGTCACAGAGGGTGAGTCCTCAGTGCAGTGTAAGCTTGAAGCCATGAAGTGACCCCTCCACCCCCCTAACTCTTTCTGGCTTATAACAACCTCCACTATACTAAGAAAGCTTTCTACACGATTATGGAATATGTCTGTGAATTTGCCAACTGTGTATTTTGACATCAAGTACTGATGTAGGAAGATCTGGCTCACAATTCGTTTTCCAATGAATGCCAAAACTGTTCAGTAGGGTTGAGGTCAGGGCTCTGTGCAGTCCACACACAGATTCCTCCACACCAAACTCATCAAACTATGTCTGTATGGAGATAGCTTGTTGGAACAGAAAAGGTTCTTCTCCAAACTGTTACCATGAGGTTGGATGCCCATAATTGTGTAACATGTCTTTGTATGCCATAGCATTAACCAGTACCCTTTGCTTGAAATGCCTGAACTCAATAATTTAGAGGGGTGCTCACATATTTCATATAGTGTTTCTCAGCTTGTATTATCCAAGTTTGTGGCAAGTTTACACCCTAACCCCATAACCCTAAGTTGTAACCTAATAATTATCATCACAAAAACTATTATCACTAAGAAGCTTGTACAGACCACTGTCAAATTATACACAGTTATTTTTTAAAACTAATCTATTGAACCCAAGGAAAGTGGAAGACATGTAAGATTTAACTTAGCCTAGGAACTACACAATTTATGAGCCCGTGTCTGTTATTATAAACAAAGAGCCAGCAGCAAAAACTGACAGCCCAGAGGGATATTGATTGTCAATCAGCGCTGGTTAAAAATCAGAATGTATCCCTAGTTAACAGACAATTTATAGGTAAGTTTAGCCAAAGGTGCAGCTTAACGGTGACACCCAGGCAATCCGTCTTCCTGCCTCTATGGTCCCTGTTATTAAGCTGGCTGTGTACAAGATAACCTGATTTGTCTTTGAAGACCCTTTTCATAATGTGCACATCCACTACTGAAAAGCAATTCCAAGCAACCAAGGAAACCATTCAGTAAACAGTTATTGTTAGGCAGCAAACGCTGCAATAGTGCTACAGAAACATCCATTCAATTCTAGAATATTGACTGGGAGAACAGGGAGAGGGAGACCTATATATCCAATGGTCTTACCCCTTGTTAATGGATTTTACTGGTGTCACACCCTTTATTTGCAGGACACTGAAAAGCACATAAGTAAAGCTAGTGGGGCTTTTGGAGGCACCATACCAAAAGGAAATTAAATACTCAAAATATACAAAATTAAAGCTTTATTAGACAGTGTTAAAACCACAATTGTGGTGAAGATTTGGAGCATTCACATAGTTCATGATAAAATATAAGTGTAGCTTGTATATAGTAACAGGCTTAATACATAACAATGCAAAGAATATCCATTGATGACATAACTAGCATAGTTGACATAATTTCCTTAAGATCTTTCTCCAATCTTTCTTCAACTTATTTTGCAGGACAATAGCCTGCTCCCTCAGGGAGATATAACATGCAGTTCTAAAATTATATAAACAAAGCCAAAATAAGCATACAACATATCAAAAAAATATTAGAAAAACATAACACCTGTAACAGTCAGATATTCAAATTTACCAGACGATAGCATCAGGATGTTCATAAAGTGCCACAAGGAGCCATGATCATTTGAAACCAAAAAGGTCCCTCCATCAAGGGTGTAAAGAAATGCCAGGTGGGCAGATCACACACCCATTTGATCTAAAAGAAAAAAAAAAAGTTTAGTTTTGAATTAGATGCATTGTTATTTGAAATAGTTTTATTTTTCTTTAGTTTATTATTTATGTATTTTGATGCATGTAATTATTGTGGTGATTTTCTAATTTTTTGTCTTTTTTATTGTAGAAATTATTATATTGCTTTGACGAGATGGCAATCATAATTAATTTATGAGGAAGGCTTCAAAGGAACCATGACTATTTATATATTTTCATCATACATGGCCAGTACATTTTCGTTTTATAATTTATTAATTTTTTGTATTGTGTGATGTGGACCCTGTTGTGGTTGATGCCTTGAAGGTACTGCGCGGTTTGGTTTTGGCTGCGAGTGAGGGCGTCTTCACTTGGCTGCTTGTTGATTAGTTTTTTCCAAATTGGCCACGGGTGTTCGGCATAAACTTGTGACACTGGAAATCACGGCGCCGGACATAATGATGTCACGTGTATGTGCTGATGCCATGGCTGCACATGCGCCTTATGGCCAGAATGCGAGCATTTGGTGCCTTCCCCTCACTATTTAAGACCCGTGATAGGAGATAGCTATTCCAGGGCTACACTTTATTTTGGAACATCTACATTGCTATATTTATTATTCCCAATATATTCATACAGATCGGAACCTTAGGCTGGGAAAGATTTTGACCATGGTAAGCAATATATACCATAGTTTTGGAAAGGATGATTCTAGTATGTACCTAGCCGAGGTTAGTGCATGGATGATTTTCCTGTTGATCTGAATTACTAATTTGTTTGTGTCAAAATCATTTCGGGGAGTTGGGGTGTAGTTTGGATGGTTTTGGGACACATATAAAATATTTTAATAATTTGAGTTGTTCTCTCATCTTTCCTTCTGCTTGTATACTTTATATTTCCAAGAGGGTGTTGGCATCATCTTGTATATAGTTAATATAAATGTGTTTTCCCTTTTTTTTTTTAAATCCAATGGGCATGTAATCTGCCCACCTGGCCTATCTTTGCACCCTTGATGGAGGGACCTTTTTGGTTTCAAATGTTTATGGCTCCGTGTGGTTCTTTATGAACATTAGTTTTACTTAGTTAGGGTTTATGTGCTTTTCAGTGTCCATTCAATTCTACTTAAAGGGTCCATCCACCCAAAAGTAATGTTTTAATATTCAGTATATACAGGGCCTAATGGGCCACTGGTCAGCCACTGGCTTCTTTTTTGTCTTGGATACTTCCAACAGCAAGGTCTTCTGTTGTGATGTACACTGTGGTGACTTCACAGGAATTTGGCTAACAACAGAAGCTTCAGCTGGTCAAATTGATTATAGGTATAGGGGTGACCTGCTCACAAATGCCTAGGATAAAAGTGGAAATGTTTTACTTTTGAATGTACTTTTTATATTTTCTTTTCTTTAATTTCCTCAGAAGTGAAACATAGAACAATTAAAAAAGAAATTAAAGTACAGTAAGTATTAATTATCACATATAAATATTTCATTTTGAAACTATGATATAATTACATATTAAACCAGCAGGTGAAGCTCAGGGCTGTACTTAGCTGTTCTGTTAAGAAAATGTTTGTTGTTAATAACACTCAATATCCAATGTTCAAATTACACACACATTAGAATGAGTCAGAGGAGAAACTCAAACACCCCTTCCTTCCTGATCTGTTCATATTGATTGTCTAGACTGCTAATCAGAAAGAGAGAGAGTCTGAAAGCAAGAAGAATTTTTTTTTGTACCTTAATGGTATAATATATCAGATAGTTAATCTCTATGTAGATCTATATGTAACTTCTTCACTCTGTTATTCTTTGTCACATTTTTATATATAGTTATTATATTTATTTATATATTTTTTTTTCAAAACCATGATGAAGGGGACATACTAAAATGGAGGTACGTTGACTGAATTACACAAATTAAATATGTAAACCTGACATATAATATTCCTGATATATGCCTGCTGTACCATGTACTTGTATGAAAAAGTATCCTGTTCTCTTTGTATTGCTTCTTTTGTGTGAAATCCCTGGTGCTCCTGCCAGTCCCTCTGCTTACCTGTTAAAAACTGACCACACTAGGCTTGAGAGCACTGTCACATACCTGGTAGGAGACTGAATTGATGAGGTTGGCCTCTCTTGTATCTCCAGCCCAGGCCCCACTGAAGGTGGAATAGATGGTGTTGAGGGACCGGAGGAACATGAATGCCGGCAGGTGTTAATAGCAGAACTTGTAGCAGAAGCAGGGGCGGATTGACCATTTGGAAACTCAGGCACTGCCCGAGGGCCTGGGGTCAGTAGGGGCCCCATGAGATGCCCCTGGCACCTTTTTCATAGGCTTTTTTGAGTTTGGGCAAGGACACAGGGGCCCCATGATCTCCTATTGCCCGGGGACCCCATGAGTTGTCAGTCCGCCCCTGAGCAGGAGATGCAAGCTTGAGAAGTCAGGTAGGACATCATGCCAGGAGTAGATGTGATGCATGCTGGACCAGCCAAGGCTAAATGGGCACTCCACATGTACTGCAGGTTCTGGAAGCGTGGCTTGTTGAAGCTCTCAGCAAGCTTTAGGCAGGATCACACTGCGATGACTGGACGGTTATGAAGGACAGTCAAAGCAAACACTCAGAAGTAGTGTGAAGCCAAGTTGGAAGCAGGAGCAAGGTCGCAGAGGTAGCCGAGGAGAGTGGCAGGCAGGCAACAAGGTACAGAAGTGTAGACTATGTAGTCAGGAACAAAGCTGGGGTCAGGAACAGGTGGGCAGAGGTACAGGCTGAATCCAGGATCAGTTCAGTAACAAGCTGGGTCATCAACGGAAATCAGATACAGGATATACTCAGGACACAGGAAAAGCTGAAGACCAGTCAGCACTGACAGTGAGCAAGAGCATCCTTTAAATAGCCCATCTGGCAACAGAAACTGTGGGCACGCTCCCGCGCATGTGCAACCCTATGTTCATTTCTATTAGTGATGCGCCTATGCACATTTCTATGAGCGATGATATGCGCATGCACATATCTATGCGCCAGTCGCCATACTGAAATTCTCTTACAAGCACAGTGTGGCCAGTTCTCTAGCTGTGCTGGGAACTCAGTCTGCTCTCCTTCAATGATCAGACTTGTCCTGACACACCACCCCTGTAAAGCCATTCCCTGGGAAGTTCAGCGCACTGCTGTTTCTCCTCCCCAGCTCCTATTCAGCTGAGAACAGAGGGATCACTTATGAAAAAAAAAGTGGGGGGGTTATATTTTTGTATATATCTATACACAAATGTTTTGCCTTCCATTTCTATTTTAAACTGAATGGGTTGTATTACAAGGTGAGGGTTTCCATACTGTATACTTTAAATAAAGCTTATTTGAATGAGAATCATCTGTCCATCTTTTTCCTATATGATGGCAGCAGAGTGCTCATATTTCGCTGAGCCATAGTCAATTTCCACTTTAAAAAAGGCCCTTTTGGGCCATCTAGTCTTGTGCATGTGAGCAGCCTATGTCTTTTGGTGCACAATGGTTTCTGGATTCTTTTTCTTTTTCTGGTCTTTTACAACAGTGTCAAAGGTGGGCCCCATGTTACTGTATATCAATTCATAAAATAAAGAATGTATATTCATTACTTAGTAGAAGAGCTATAAAACATCAATTTCAAAATATATAATCATTAATGCTACGTTCGCATCTGAGCATAGTGACGTGTCACATTTTGCATCACGTGTTTTAGTGCGTTTTTGGTTAAACAACCTACTTACTTGAATTGGCTGTCTGTTCTACTACAAATGTGCCAAAGAAACTCAAGAACCAATTTTTTGGCATTGAGCTAAGCGCATTTGGCGATACATGTTTTTGTTAGTTTTTGTGCATTTTATGCGTGACTGATACCTGTTTTTGGGATGCCATTAATAAATAATGGCACCACAAGTGCAATACATGTTTTTGCACATTTTTCGCAATTTCTGGACGCATGAATGCAGCCTAAAGTGTATGTAATGAACCTCTCATATGTTCTCCCTTATGGTCTGTCTAATACCCAGTGAAAGTGTTTTGTTATAGTTGTTTGATAGCAAAACATGCGTGATGATCCTGCCAGAAATCTACTGAGCTTATAACTTCCTGTGCTCTCTGCATGTTCTGCACTTATACAAGTTTTTTTTTTCCCCAGCATGTGGACTAAAGAACACCTCCCCAATATACTATGAAGATGCTGAGGGGGTGGTATGTAGTCCTTGAAATACTTCCTGTCCTATGGCGATAACACTGCTACTCCATAGATACAGTGAAGTGAGTGAGCACCCTAGAACAGGAAATGTGTTACTGGTGGAATCAATAGGTCCAAATAAAGGTACATAGGTTTAAAAAAGTACATGTAAAAAAGTTTAAGAAAAAATCAGCCAAATCATTTTCAGTTTACCTTCATTGCAAGTCATACACAAGTCTATTTTGTTGGCAGAGAAAAATGGTATTTGCTGAAATATTCCAACTTTAAACCTGTTTTTCCATTGAATCTATTATGTTTGTGTTTATATTTACACTTATGTTATACTATAATATATGACATTTTTATGGTATATAACATGTATAACAGACATCTAAAAATGCTGAATTTGGTATAAAAATTATTACGTGGTGCACATTACTTATTACGTAAATTTTCAGTTCTCACCGAACCTGTTTATTTTGGGAATCTCATCTTTGTCCTTGACCTCTGCTTCTTGTTATCCCAGATATCTGTGAAGGATCTTGATTTGTCTCAATGCTGTTTTATGTAAGGGGTCATAAATAGTTTATGTTTCAGATTAACTACCATGAAGTGGTGAAGGATTTGTGGAGTTAGATAGGTATCACAGATGGAGAAGACGTAGGATCATGCTGAAGGAAAAGCAATTGGTTTAATTCAATGCCCTCATAAACTCTTTCTGAGAGATTCAACAAAACCTCTATAACCTAGGAAGCTCACAATTCATTAATCATCACTAAAACTGGCTTTGCACCCACCACCCTTTCAACCCCCTCAAAAAAAGATCAAATGATCAAGACTAAACACTATCAGCTGACATATTTATATTTACAAGGCAGTACTGATAGTATGCCATGTTGATCTGTTTAATTATTTTTAGAATTAAATTGGTAGGAATACCTAGAAAAATGTTGTATGTATGGCAAATATGAGCAAGCATATGTAGCACTACCCCCACAGGAGTCGCTTGGTAATTTGGGTTCTCTGTTCTGTGCTCAACTCAAAGAACAATCTCAGCCCCTCTGGCACTTCTGGTCAAATGAAAATTAATGTAAGCACGATTAAAAACACTTGGCTGTTGTGAATTAGCACCAAGAAAATATACATAAGGCCATGTAGCACTACCCCTATTGGAGTTGCTGAGTTTTGGGTCCCCCTATAGCCCTGCACAGCCAGGAAACATGCATTGTCCACACAGACTTTCATCCTGTAGACAGTAACCAGTTATTGAGCTTGGTTTTTTGGATTTTATTAGGAGAACTGAACTTGGGTGGGGTAAGACAGTCCTCTGTCTATGAGCTGATGGGTTGGTGGCTGTTCTCAGACCTTCTGCTGGGTTGCTCCTTCACTGCTCCACAGATGGTCCTCGCTCTGAGGTCCTGAGCTTTCCTCCTTTCCAGGTCCACTGCCTTTAGGTGAGCCCCTTTCCATCTGGGCCCCCTCCCAAGCTCTTGCTCTTCAGTCTCTCACTCCATCTTCTTCCACCCAAACTCTCCTGCTGCTTAGCAGGCTCTTCACATTTGAAGGCTGCCCTGGTCTCGTACCAAGCCTGCTGCTTGGGGATTGGCCAAGGTCCTCCAAGTGTGCACGCCAGCCCCTCCTCATCCCCACCCACTGCGTCTAGAATCTTCTCTATGATTCTAGAGTGGGGGGGGGGGTATCAGGGAACTGACCTGCAGAGCCTCTCAGCTCTGACCCAAATTTTACCTCCCTCTGACTATCACCACAGGCTACTACTGAGCCTCTGACTAACAATTGAACATGACCTCCCCCTAGCTATCTATGAGGGTACTACAACCATTTAGTGGTAAATGAGCTTAAAGGGTAGCTCCACTTTCATGGGAAAAAAATTAGCACAAAAAAAAAAGTATAGCATATACAATTACAACTCAGGTCAAATTGTAACTGAATTTTTATTTTAATTACCTTTCCTTTTCAATCTGCAGTGCTGTCATTTTCTGTAAAATATACTGCAACATGGCTTCCTGGAGGCATTCTGTACACAAATGGTGTACAGAAAATGTAATTTCCTGCTTGTGTTACTGGCTTACGTATTTTCCCAGAAGTCTGCACTAAGATACAAGTCAGATTTTAAACATCCCCTGCAAAAAAAATTTATTTTTGGTGAGATGCTCCCGAAGGGAAATGTCATCTAAAGGGATGCAGACCTTGACAATTTTCTCATTAGAGCCCTGCAGGTGCAGCAGTTGATATAAAACCACTCCCATACAGATTAATTCTGCACATGGATACAGACCAACCACTATATTTCCATAATAACCAAAGGTAGGGATCTGAAACAAAGTTTGTAAAAAATCTTTGCAGTGTACATAGACCCAGAGGGGAGTGTTTTTGTTTTCTCAACAGAAGTGGAGTTACCTTTTAATGTATTGGTACAGTTTAGAATAAATGGTGATTTGAGCATAAATGAACACACAGAAGGTACGTTCTGACACAATCCGCTAAACAGTATAATTTATATGCCAAAGTTAATTAGAATACAGTGCTGTACCACTAGACTTAACTCATGAATCAGCAATGTTAGCACTAAACAGTGTACATAAGCATTAAGTGCAATGTAAATAATACTATAACTAGTCTAGAGTGCTCTCTAGGAGAATAGCTAGGATATGGCGCAATGTACCCTGAGAGATACCTCTTAGCATAAGCAATAATGAAAGTCTGTGTGTAGCAGCCATAAAGGGACAGCGTTTAGTTCTAATTCTTCAGTCGGCTAGAGTTGGAGCCCAGATGTACTGTTGGTGCATGTGAGAATAGTCCCAGTCAAGTCTACAGGCACCAATAAGGATACTAGATGGTTGTATGGTCAATTCCTAAAGGGCTCAGTCTCTCTAGCAGGTTGTAAATCTCCACAGCAGCAGATCACAGGTCCCAGTGATATTGCAGCTCACCCTCTGGTCATACACAATGATTAGTCTTCTCTCTGCTCTACACCCAGATGACTCTAGCTTGCACCACACCTGGATCCCGATCAGGCCTCCAATATGCAGCAGTAATGGTGCACACTGGACTTCCCAGGCTTCCTCACAGCAAAGGAAAGCTGTGTCCTGTACAGCCTGGGAAAATGTGGCTATTTCCCTTCCTCCTGGCAATCTCTCTATGGGAAATGCAGTTCAAAAGCTCTTGATTGTAGTAGAGTCTCTCTGGATGCTACTTTCACTACAGGGTTCCTGACCTTAACTAT